TCTGTGGTGTTTCTGAATTGGGCCCATCCATCCCTGTTGGCCTCTTGTTCCGTCCTCGTCTTCAGAGCTGTATTTCACACAATCCATGCGGTTCCTGGAGGCGCTGATGTGTGCAGTAGTGAAGGTGGTGAGAGCTGTTGGGCTGTGCATCTGCAAGTGAGAAGGGGAGGAAGGAAGAAAGGAGCAGCCTCCTGCCCTGCTTCCCTGTGCTGCCCTCCCCTGCACAGCCCTGCTCACTGGGTTGCTGCTGTGCCAGCTGTTTCCATGGCCGTGGGGCTGCCTGTGTCCCCAGGGCTGTGTGGAAAGGCCACTGCAGTCAGCAGGTCTGGTGCCAGCACCTGCAGAGGGAACAGGGCTGAGCAAAGCAGCACCAAACACTGAGGTGGGGCAAGGGGTCCTTGGGCAGCTTCCATGGTCCTTTAGGAGCACAAGAGGCTGGAGTTTGGGGCTGACTTACCTTCTTTGTAGGACATGAGCACCAGTTTGTTGGGCTGAGCTGCATCACTTTTGGCCATCTGGTGCCATTTGTGTTGGTCTGTCCATCTGCAAGGCAGAGGGGAGGTACAAGAAGAGCAGCCTCCTGCCCTGCTTCCCTGTGCTGCCCTCCCCTGCCCAGCCCTGCTCACCGGGTTGCTGCTCTAAAATGGTTTCCTTGTCCATTTGGGGCTCACTGTGTCAGCAATGCCACGTTGACACGGCCACTGCAGTCAGGTGGTGTGGTGCCAGCACCTGCCGTGGGGTCAGGACTCAGCAAAGCAGACTACGAGGTTTGGGGTAAGAACAGGAAGATCTTGGGGAGCTTTGATTGTCCTGTACGAGCACAACAGGCTACAGTGTGGATCTGACTTATCTTTTTTGTAGGACACCAGTTTGGAGGGCTGAGCTCCAGCGCTTTGTGTCATCTGGAGCCATTTGTGTTGGGCTGTCCATCTGCAATGCAGGGGGGAAGGAATGAAAGGAGCAGCCTCCTGCCCTGCTTCCCTGTGCTGCCCTCCCCTGCACAGCTCTGCTCACCGGGTTGCTGGTTTGCCAGCCGTTTCCAGTGCTGTCTGGGGCTGCAAAATATCCCCAAGGCTGTGTGGAAAGGGCCACTGCAATCAGTGGGTCAGGTGCCAGTCCCTGCAGTGGGGCCAAGACTCAGCAAAGCAGCACCAAATGTTGGGCTGAGGGCTGGGGGATTTTGGGGAGCTTTCATGTTACTGTAGGAGCACAACAGGCTGCAGTATGGATCTGACTTATCTTTTTTGGTGGGCA